CATTTCTGAATAATGAATTTAGTCACTGTCTGGTGTTACCGGGCTGTAACAGCCAAAATACAGACTCTGGAACAACCTGAGACAACCTGCAGACTGTCTGGCTCATTTAGTGCCAAAATGTCAGGAATTCCTTTGTGGTTAGCGTGTGATATAACTAGTGTAAATGTTCTTGAATTGCTGCAATCCTTTGTTCGGTGATTCGGTCAGAAAACAACAGTGAGCGCACGTCTCTCTCTCTGACGCTCCTGTTTCATCAGGGGCAGAGGATGTGGTCGTCTCTTCCCAACATGTTCAGTGTCTGCCGTCATTGCCACACTGATGGGAATGACTGTGAGGAACATGTCCAGACAGAGTGGGTGGATACGGCCCCTTCGACTGAAAACACTCAAACAGACATCCACACTGTGCTACTTCTCAGATACACGCTAAACCGCAGGCGTCTTATCACTCGTCATGTGACGCACGCGCGTAACTGCGGCAGAAATTTTGAACTTCTGACTGGCCTCTTATAGCTTAGTGTTTGTAAAATATAATCTTCATTTGTTGTAAGCAATTAAACCACCCTAATCCCTACTAGTCATAAAAGTTTAAACACATTTATATGGAGTTTATTTTGTGTCACATTCACAGTAGTAGCTTTGACAGTTTTGTTTGACCTCCGTCTCTTAAAGGTCCACCAACTCAATGGAGGTGCAATACCGAATCATTAGAATGTTTCTTTAATATTAAGTTGCAGACCCTTTACAGTCAATGACCACAATATATCTTCCCCAGTGATGCCCTGCCAGGCCCGTGCTGCCTTCTTGCTTGTTTCAGGGGCTTTTTGACTTCATTCTGGTCTTCAGTAGTAAAAAAGATATAATCCCTTTGACTGAGGCCAGGTGACAAACTGCTCCAGTCTAGAATATCTCACTACTTGTCCTCAAAAATGTACTTGCTTTGCTTTGTGTACGCTGTATGTTTACAGTGTACAGAACATTATCCTGCTGTATAGATGTTAAATTGGGATATTACTGTATGTAGATTAAAAGCACTCCAAGTTCTTCACTGGTGACTCAAAAAAGATGTAAACACCCCTCAAACACCATGGCCAAATTTAACCTGTTCTCATTCCCAGGATGTCCAATAACAATGCTTTGTAAAGCCCCTCTGTGCAGGGCGCCCTTAGCATCTCCACAGGACACGTGGTTAATTCTGTGAAATGGCTGCAGTTTAGTTCAGGCAACAAAACTACCTGGTTAATTTTATTTATTTTTTTAAATCATGTTTTAATGAGTACATTTACTTATTGTAATGTGACATAAATACATGACTTGAATGACGTCAGTGCACAGCAACCAAACAAAAAGTTACAAAACATTTAAACACGGGTGATTTTTGATTTCACAGGAGACATAGGTACGTAATTAGGTTAAAACAACATTTACGTATGGTTTCATACAGGACACAAACTGCAGTCTCCTGGGTGAAAGTCCGGTTCATCCATCTCCTCTCCTTCCTGCTTGACATAGACTTCCTCGTATTGCTGCAAAATGGGTTTACATTGGAGTTAGCTGAAAGCCTGGTGCACCCAATAAAGACCAAACCAATGTGCTAAAGGCTGCCTGTGGTTTTGATATCACGTGCCGAGGGGCTTGACAAAGCGTCAGTATTTTACAATCTGGGAATGAGAACAGGCTGCCAAATTAGTTGGCCCTCTTTAGCCTCTTGGATCAACGGGTTTCCTCAAGATGGGGCCTTGAAGTCAGGTAATAAAGCACTTGAAGGCTCTTATCATGTAAGTTGATATTGTGCTTACTGGTGCACGTTCCCAAGCAAATTTTTAATTAAATGTTCGAACCATTTCACACAGAGTTTACAAAGAGCTTTTCGGGGCTCCTGGAGATCTGGGATCCTGTGGCAGTCGCCCACTTTTCCCTGATTGGTGGTCCAGCTTTGTCAAAACATCCTTAGAAATAAAAGTCAGCACTTTAAAGGAGCACGTCAACCCCTGAATGATAATTTGTGTATCAGTTACTCATTCTGTGTTAAGTTGAATTCAGGAAGAAAACTTTGTTTTCCATGTATGCCTTCACAGTGAACAAAGAATCAAAAGAAGACAAAGGTTCTTGATGAATTGAAGTCATAGGGGGCCATGTTTACCAACAGCAAAACTATATCAAAGCATCTGTTTAAAAACCCTCAAACAACCTAGTGCAGTATATTATCATCATATTTATCCAGCTGCGTGCTCAGTATTTCCCAAAGACATGCATTTTCACATAAATGTTACTATTTAAACACTTAAACGTGAACAGCAAGGGCGCACCACTCACCCATGTGTGAGACTCTTTACTTGGAAGTGTTTTAAATATTATGGTCATCTGTCATGAATTCAGGTATTGAACAGAGTTGTCATCATTAATTGAAGGTAACACGGGGTATCCATGGGGAGATAATGGCGGACTCCGCCACTAACGATGACCACTACTATATAGAGAAGTAATTTATGAAAATACAGTGAGTAGCTGACCATCAACAGTAGTGTGACTTTAAACTTGTCATTGCTTCATTTCTATCCAGGGTGCCACAGTACAGAGTGAAAAAGATTTTTTTGTTGTTAAAATCAGCTGTATTCTTCCAGTTGGCATTTTCCTCACTTTACCAGATGCCTCATAGATATAGTACAGCAGTTGAAAGTGGATAGCAAAGTGAACTCCTTGATACAGTCCCACCTCCCTTCTGTATTCTGGCACTTGTGAAGTGATAATGGACACAATTAGAGTACACTTTATCTTGGCTGCTTGTCAGCCAGGCCTGCGCTGTCAAAACCTGTCAACAGGAGTGCCGCTCACACCCTCAAGCAGCTCCATGTCTGTTCGAGGCTCGGCGCAAAACAAGCTGACAGCAACATTAGGATGTACAGTCCTGGCAACTGGCGGGGAGGGTTTGGATGAAGTGATAGCAGCTGTTGAGGCGTTCCCTTCCTCCTCGCAGATCTGAGCCTACAGGATCTCTCCATACGTGATTTGGCCTCTTGCCTGAACGTCTTCTGTTGCTCTGTTTGTTTAATTGTGGGCATCACCTGGAGGTTGTTGCTGTTAACTTTGTGTAAACTTTTGGATTCTGTTTGTCATCATAATTACTGTAAACATGCGCAAAGAGTCCCATACATAATCTGACAGTTTGTACACACAAGACCAGGGAAAGTACTTGTGAAACTGGAAAAGTCCCTCTTAGATTACATCCCACTAACAATCGTATCAGTGAATTTATCAGAGGGCGTTTAAATCACAGGGAGGTTCGAAGTAATGTGTTGATGTTTCATCCCCTTCACTTCTACAGACTATGAGAAAAGCATGTTTGCGGTCTGTCGGGTTAGTCCAAACCCATCCCAATGAGCTGTGGTGTCTTCCACCCAGCTTCCCAGAATGTTCCACCTCGTGCCTCCTAAACTGAGCAGCTATAAGTTCAGCTGGATGGCACGAGAGCCAGCGTGTTTCTTTACAAGGCCACGGTTCTGGACGCTTCATGTACACATCCAGATCATTTGCAGAGGAAATAGTGTTCTGCTTTTGGTTGTGTCTCAATGTGGTGTTTACCACATGTCTGTCTTACTGTAAATTTAGAACACTGAGTATCCTGAATGTTCCTACTTAGTGTGACATCCTTTTCCAAACTGTTGACATCAACAATCCCTGAGCTTTTTATTCTGCACTGAACTCTGCAGTTGCCCTCAGACCCTTCAGCTCAGTGTTTTGTTTTGTTTTTGTGGCCAACAACAGCTGTGTTTTATTTTAGAAACAGACAGTCTTCAGAACAAACACCGGAGCAGCTCCAGTCTGTGTTCTTCTTTACTGCTGCATCAAAGCCAAAGTGGCACATTTTTCTATGAATTTATCAAATGAAAAAAGGGTGCAACCAACTGAGAAAGTTGGTAGCGCCAATGCCACCAGTCAAAAAGTTAGTCTGGAGCCAGGCTGTTCTCATGTACTGTTTGTATGTATACCTACAAAAGTAAGGTAACGGAATTTGTATATAACCCACATCATCAGGAAGGCTGTGATCACGTAACTAATGTGCTGACAGGAGTGAAGACAAAAGTAGTATAAAGAGCGAAACTCTGGATAAGAAGGCAGGTTGGAGCGGTGTAGGGGTCAAACAATGGATTTTTCCCAAGGAGACTGGTGTTTTGTGTGCAACCAAGTAAACTTTTAGTTATTTTGAGGTACGTCATTGTCACGTCACATTACGAGTGCATAACTTAACGTTAAGTACATAATTGTACTACTTAATTATGTAAAGTGATGATGCCCAACCATGATTCTACTCCTAACCATTACCTAACCAGTAGAGGCACAAACTCATTAGAAATCATACAAACCGCTGTATGAGGATACGTTGCTGAGGCCCTGTTAGCAGTGGTAAGTGCCAGATATTTCTGTCAGGACTGTGTGCAGAAAAAAAACAGAGCTAAAAGAAGATTAATATTGGACTTATCAGGAGGAATTTGCCTGTATCTTCTGAATATGTAAATAAGTAGCAGTTTGCTAACATGTCCACCCACTTATCAACTTCACAGTGATAATATATTAGTGTTGTGTTCACAGCTTGTTTTCCAATGTCCTCAAGTGGCCTAAAAATCAGTTCATGCATGTTTAAAGGGCGACTTAACACCTTATTCTAACTTAAACACACCCTCTTCACACGTTGAAAAGGCAAATATAAAAACTGACTTTCAGACCTGTTGATGTCTTAAAGGGATAGTGCACCCAAAAATGAAAAATTCAGCCATTATCTACTCACCCATATGCTGATGGAGGCTCAGGTGAGGTTTTAGAGTCCTCACAACACTTGCAGAGATCCCAGGGGAGAGGGGGTAGCAACACATCTCCACCTAATGGAGGCTTACGGCGCCCCAGGTTCAAACGTCCAAAAACACATAATTGAAACCACGAAATATCTCCATACTGACCAAGAGTTATCACACCCAGCTAATAATCTCATGTTGTTGTCTGCAGGTAACAACCCCGACATACCCTGTGGTGGTCAAGATGGGACACGCCCACGCTGGCATGGGGAAGGTGAGTTCCTTGAAATATACCAACAAGAACACGCACGTTCATTTGTTCTTTATGTTTGTCAGTGTTGAAAGTTCAAACCCCAGACTTTTAAAGTAAAAGGGGTATCACCTATTTTTTCCTATGTTCCTGAAATTTCTCTGGGGTTTACCCTACCCTACCTTAAATTAACCTCCCTCCCTTTTAGACTAGTTGACTAGTGTAAAGGTAAGAAAATGCTCAAAAGCACTGTCCTAACTGTGCACGATTTAATCTATAAGATTAAACATTGTCCAAAAAATATTGCATATCTAATAAGAGCCATTTAGAATTATTACTCACATTTTTAACAACCAAATTGTATTTTAAATGCCGCTGAAATGCGGCACTTTGCTGTGTGCAATATGACTATATGCAATATGATCTAAAATGAGTTTGTAACATTACAGCAACACAATAACATTTATTTACCGAATATTTAGTATCCCAACTCATCTTCAAAAACAAACAAATTGCTGAGATGTACAGGTCATGTGCACGTGGTTGCATCTATTGAGTCTGAGAGTGCATATACGTGTTTGTGTGTGTGAAGGCAAGAGAGAGACATCGCGCACACATCCCTAATATACATAATGTTACATCACAGGAAGTTCATATTAAACATGTTCAGAGTTTGAAATAATAAGGTAAACATATGTAAAAATAATCCCTGTGAGCAAAAAACTCTACTTTCAAGGCAAGCTGATATCACCTCATGACGGGTTTATTTACATGGTCACTACTCCAGAAACACTACTGCTAGTGTTTATGTGGTGTAGCCTACACTGCTACATGTAGCGACATGCTAACATCATGCCCATGTGGTCAATTTATTCCTGCTCAAACACGTCCGGTTGTGTTCAGGTTAGGGGTGTAAATCACTAGTTTCATCACGATACAATATCATATCGATTCTTTAGACAGCGATACGACATTTGCCGATATTATTAAGTCTGAGACGATGTGATTCAGGGGCCTGAGATCAATGTGAGACAGTAGCCATGTTTCCATCAGCCTATTTAGATGCACATCTAGAAGTATCACATTGGAAAATTATGATGGAAATGCCAAAATTCGAATTAAAATCCCCTGATTCACACAAACTAAAATACGCTCACTTTAGCCGGGTTTTGGTTGATTCGAAAAAATGTTGATTCGCAAAACGGGGGATGGAAACAGTTATGTTCGAATTAAGTCTGACGTAGCGCACCTCTCTCCATGGTGATATCCGCACTCCGGGTCGGGGAGGCGGTAATGCATTTACAAGCTGGTTGCCAACCGCCAGAAAACGTAGAAGAAGAAGAAGAATGCGAGACTCGTTTTGTTTCCGGTTCTGCGGAAAACTCGTGCAAGTTCATAGTTTTCACCAAAGTCCATACATTTAAGGGAAACACACAGGATTTGTATTTCTTTTAATGCACATTTGCCAATGATTCGAATCGCTTTTGGATGGAAACATAGCTAATTTCATCTGCTCATTTTACATACTTGATTACAGAAGAAGCTGCTTTCTTTTTTACTTCTGGCCATAAAAGATAAAAACAACACATGAATAATGTAACTAACTGTAACTACTTAAGTGCAGTGAAGTCCACTTTTAATTGACTCCACTAACACACATAAAACTGCACATGGGATAAGTCAATCTTCAGGACTCTCTGCAAGGGAGCCCTTTCTAGCATATCTTTTCATTTTAACCCAAACCATAATCTTTTTCATAAAACTTCTAGGGCTGTCTGGCTTAAAGCCCTGAAGGCAGACTTCTTCCAACAGCCAGATTAACAACAAGATCATTTAACAAATGTGTAACATTCAGCTGGTTGAATTTCACACTAAAAAGAGCAGCTTACAGCTTAAAGAGACAGGCGCTACCACAGAGCCTTCTTAGACAGAGGGGGATACAGATGTCTCAGCACAGACTGTGTGAGGAAAATAAAGGTGATTAAGGTTATTTCCCTGAACTATTCCTTTAAGCCAGAAAGATACTAGAAGGCGAACTCTAACCCTTACTCATCGTGAATAGACTCTGCGTCACACTTGCAACAATTGACTTTGTCACAGAAGCTCACAAGTTCACTTTTCCACCTTCCACCTCACATTACAGGCCCGCACTCAGACTTGTCCAGGGTCCAGTCATGCATATCAAACATGTGATCATATCATACCAGCTTTGACTGGTGTGCGGTTCAAAGCGCAGGAAAGGAGATTGCAGACCTAAAACCCCCCGTTTGTTTCTAGTTTGCACTGATCTGTAAAATCAGTCATGGTGGCCAAATCGCAGTGATGATCAGGCTGCAGTGTGTTCCTGCTTTACTTTCACTGAGCTGATATCTGATTGTTACAAAGGCAGGGAGCACACAGACAGACAGACACACCACTGATAAGGTCTGCAGTTTTACTTTTGATGTTCTCTTATACAACAGTCTGGCTGATGTATGCGTGGAGTTACACAAATTGATGCAGCACAAAGAAAGTTCTCACACACTGTGTCTCTCTCTCTAGTTGTTTGGATTCACATAGCGATATACTTCCTATAAAGTATGTCTTTTGCCCCCGTCTGTCTGGATGGGCTTGGTTTCCGTTTCAGGAGCCAGACATGCTATAGAATTTCCCAAAAGGCTTAAGAAGAACTTGGCAAGCCCTTGCAGAGTGGGACCTAGTTTAACCCGTCAGACCTCACAGAGCTCTGAGAACGGACAGGAACATGTGGGATTTAGGTCATTGCTGTTTTGTTTGCTCTTCACAGAACCTTGTTATTTTTTTGTGAGTGGATCGAAGACAATGAATTTATCATTTCTTGCTCGCTGACACCACTTATATCATATTAAATGAACCCTAATTTAAAGGTGCTACACGCAGCTCTGAACAAAACTATGTAATTCTTGAAACATAATAACATAGCTTTGAGTTTGATACATTCAGGAGTTTTGCTGCTACACCCTTAAAGGCCCAGATGCACCAAGCTGATATTAAAGAAGCAGTGGTGACAAGGACAGACTGTTGAGTCTCCTCACATCACCTGTGTCTCAGCCACAAAGTTGCACTTAAACACACTGCAAAAATTACAGCCAACTAGCGCAAAAACTAGGGTGACAGACGCTCATCAACGGCCAGACATTGACCAATGACCGATCGTCAGCTTGGCCCTCACATGTACTCTGGTGTGGCAAATAGCTCATAAACTGAAACTGGTTTTGTTGCTGATGATAAAAAAAAAAATCTGCTCTGGAGAGAATTTGCCTCAACTATAAGTTAATAATTTACTATTTACTTGTTATGTTTTCTCCCAGGATATTTGTGTTTCTTCAATTTATTTATTTCCTTTTTTAAGGCGGCTTTCCTTTTTACTACAAATAACATTATTCCTCTTATGTATGCTTTGAATACATCCCAAATTATACCTATTTCTGGCCTATCCTGTGGGTCCACCTTATGTACATTGGTTTGAATAAATAAATGAATATGGTTTTTAATATAATTTAAAAATTCAGAGTCCAGTAAGTATTTTTTATTCATTCTCCATAGTTTATTGGACTTTGTACTTTGTTTCAGGGACATAATGCCAGTGACTTTTGAATGATCTGATATTATAATTTCATAAATCTTACTTGATCGTACTCTGTCCAGGCCTGTCTTAGATATAAGTAATCTATTCGACTGTAGCTACTTTGAGGGTGTGAAAAATATGTCTTTCTATTGTGTTAGGGTGTAAAGTTTTCCATATATCCCGCAGTTCATTGACTAATAAGAATTCCTGGAGGTTTTTTGGTGGATTAATTTTCCTGTTTTTAGTTCAGCTATGATAAGGGCTTACTATGTTATTCCCCAAATATGATCACTCCTGTTGGAGAACGGTCTAACACTGTTTTAATTTTATTCAAGAAAAGCATTTTTAAGTGGGAGGACTGTAAATATAAGGTAGCTAATGTAAGCTAATGTTAGCTAATGTTGGCAAACTTCAAATAGACATTGCTGTATAAGTGACATTACTGAGCTGGTTCGCTACTTTAATGACTTTTCTTTGGTTACATTATGTTTGTAATGGTTTTATCATAAAAATAAGCACCATCTCACAAAGTGACATGTTGATGTTTCCTTGTTGTCTCATTTCACTCGCTCTTGCTGTACGTTCAAACCAGAAGCTTCCAAAGAGGCAAAGTCTCTTGCGGACGCCCAAGAAGCACGAGTGTCAAAAATATTTGTGGCAGCTTTGGTAGCTCTAGTTGCTCATCGTGTGAATCATTGAACATTCGATCGTGCTTGTCAATGTAAAGGAGCTGCAAAGCAGACTGCTGGCTTGAAAGCAGCGTAGTTGCTGCTTGCTGTTGTCCAGTCAGAAAGCTCATAGTTGGCCTACACAAAGTTATGTTCGGTCAATGAAAACAGAAAACGTATGTCAGCCCATTCAAACCAAGCAAGGAAGACTTGCATGCTACGTCGCAACATTAGCCTGCAGTTCTCTCCTCTATTACGAACATTACACACTTTAAAACTCACCAGACCAACCAACTACCTTCTCGACGCAGTCCCAAGCCTCATTCTTTTTATTATGGTCTCTGTAACCAAACAGTGACACATTATAAAGCACTGAGTGGGCGCTAACGCAAGTAATCAACTTCTTGATATCCATTGTTGGAACAAATGTGCTGTAGGAACCAAAGTTACATGGCTTGTTCTCTTGGACCCGCTTCATCGAAGCACGTCAGCATTCCCATTGGTTGTCACCGAACCACGTCAGAGCTCATTACCATAAAGTTAAACAAATTTTAACTCCCCTCAGGACCACTCCGGTTGCTTTGGTCGCCCAAGACGCGCGGCTGATGACCAGGTCACCCAAGTCACCCAAGTCACCAGGCTCTCATTGAAAATGAATGACTTCCGCTGCTTTGGAAGCTCTGGTCGTTTTTGGTGTGGACGTACAGTAAGTCAGGCCTCCCAGTGGTGATGTGTTTAAGACACCTGGCTCGAGAAACAGCCTGTTTTTG